CTTCCGGCAGTTGCGGTCCCAGGAGGCGGCGGGGCCGCGCGACGTCTACCGGCGCTTGCGGGAGCTGTCACACCGCTGGCTGCAGCCCGAGGTGCGCACCAAAGAGCAGATCATGGAGCTCCTCGTCCTCGAGCAGTTCCTCAGCATCCTCCCCGAGGAGATCCAGAGCTGGGTCTGGGTCCGGCACCCCGAGTCGTGCGCCCAAGCCGTGGCGCTGGCCGAGAGTTTCCAGCTGGGACAGCGAGAGGCCGGGATCTGGGAGCAGCAGGTGAGGACAGCGCAAGCCAGTGCTCTGCCCGGAGCTTGCCCCGCTTGCATGCTCCTGTCCTCAGCCAGCCCTCCTGCATCTGCTCACCTCTAAAATCGCTCACAAATCTGGCTCCTGGTATCGCTTGTTGCCTTTGGAGCACCTTTCAACAGGCATCCCACAAATTACCGTAGGAGCTTTGTGTTCAGGAGTTCCTTGTCCCCCTAAATGGCTCCAGAAACCCCGGAGCGGGGCACGAGGTGCAGGAGGGCTCTGTGGTCCTCCCAAAGGGTGCTCAGGGCATGAGGCCTGTTTGCAATGCCCCGCGCCATGGGGATGCCTCTGAGACACGACTCCCCACCGTGGCTCTTAGGTGCCCCTTCTGCCTTCATCCTTCAGGTGACGGTGCGCGTGAAGGTGGAAGAGGTGACCCCGGAGGACATGGAGAGCCCCGAAAACTTGTGGGAGTCTCAGAGCCCCCCGTCAGAGCCGCCCCAGCTCATCTCTGATGACGATGCCCAGGAGGAAGTGGCACGGAGCAAGTTCAAGTTTCCCCGTGTCCCTGAGGATGAGACGCAGTGCCTGGAAGAAACAGGTAATAAGCAGAAGGAAGTGGCACTTTTTGCCCCGAAGAAGGGGGGAGATGACTGCTCTAGGAGCTGGGGAGCTCCTGGAAGGTGAATACCCTGAGCACAAAGCTTTTTGGGGGTTGTGTCCCCTGGGACTACTCCTGTATGGGGGCGATGTCTCACGTGATGAGCTCTGCTGTCTGGCGCAGTCCTCCCCACCTCCTCCCAGATGAGCCCTCTGAGCTCTCATGGCATCTCCGCTCTCTGGGGAGTTTTCTCTGCCCTTGGTAGCCTATGAATGAGAGCGAAGGAAGTGGCCGAAAAGAAGGTCCTGGAGCCATGAAAGCTCATGGGACATTGAGGAAAGGGAGAGAAATGTGACCCCCAAGAGAGTCTAGATGGAAATTCCCTCGGACCTGCTACTCCTGCTGGAGCTGCCATGCATGACCTTGAGCCCTTCTCCGGTATAGCAGAAACAGCCTTGGCTGTGTTCAAAAGGCAAACCAAAGTAAGAAGAGGGACCAGGAAAGGTTTCTGAGATGGCCAGGTGGGCGGTTTCTCGCTATGGGAGAAATCTCACCAAGATCTCACTAGATCTTGATCTCTTTAGTTGTAAAGAAAGTAGAGGAAGGAAGTCTTGGAGCAAGGATCACCAGCGTCCTTGAGAAAGCCCTTGTTCTCCTTGTTCGTTTTCCCAGGAAACTCTGAGCCCCAAAGCCTTGCTCCCTTCCTCCGGTCCCTGCAGGGATCCTCAAGACAGTGCTTTAAGCAATTTCCACCTTTGGGGGACGATGCTCAGAGCACGCAGGGCTCCTCTCTGACCACCTCAGTGGCCTTCCTTGCCTGCAGGACCAGCCATGGCCACCCTACCAAGCTCCTCTCAGGGTGGCCTCATCTTCATCATTCCCTGGCGTGATTTGACTGCCTCCCATGAGGCCAAGGATTTGAGATTTTTGCTCGGCGGTGGGAGCGGGACCATCTCTGGGGTAGGGATATCGCTTGCTCTCTTCCATCCAGGGCAGAGAAACTAGTGAGGCTTGAGGAAATGGTACCTTCAAGGCCATGTTGTACCTAAGGGTGGGCTCATTTGGGGTGAGAAGAGAGGGGAAAGAGGGAAATCGGGTTCAGTTGAGTGCTGGTAGGGCAGGGGTGGCTTCCCCAGCAAAAAGCGACTTGTGAAGTAGCTCCTCTTTTTTTTTTTTTCCCCCCCCACCCGGCAGGTCCCGGGATGGGGAGCAGAGGGGAAGACCAGTACATTTTGCAAAGACAAGACACCCCACATCTACCCAGGGGCCTCCAGGGTGGTTCTGGTGAGATCCTGGTCCGGAGCCCCATGCAAAGAGACATCTACAGGAGGCAGAAAGGGATCCCACGGGATCCCTTGGTCTTCCCGCAAGCCCCTGCCCAAGGGCTGCTGGGGACTGCGAGGGCCATCAAGAGCCAGGAGAGCGGTGCCCACCGGCCAGAGAAGCCCCACCGCTGCCGCGACTGCGGGGAGCGTTTCTGGGTGAAGCACGAGTTGGCGGCACACGGGAAGGTGCACGAGAAGGAGCGTCCCTACCCTTGCGCCGAGTGCGGGAAGAGCTTCAACCGGCTGACCCACCTCAAGACCCACCAGCGGACCCACACTGGGGTGAAGCCCTACTCGTGCGGCGAGTGCGGCAAGAGCTTTGGGCACCTCTCAACGCTCATCACCCACCAGCGCCTGCACACGGGTGAGCGGCCCTACTCCTGTGGCGCCTGCGCCAAGACCTTCACCAACCCCTCGGACCTCAACAAGCACCAGCGGTCGCACACGGGCGAGCGGCCCTACCCCTGCGCCGAGTGCGGCAAGAGCTTCAGCCAGCAGGCCGACCTCACCATGCACCAGCGGAGCCCCCTGCGGCGAGTGCGGCAAGAGCTTCAAGTACCTGGCGGACCTCACGGTGCACGAGCGGTCGCACACGGGCGAGCGGCCCTTCCCCTGCCCTCAGTGCGGCAAGAGCTTCAGCAACAAGTCCTCCCTCGCGCGGCACACGCGGATCCACGCCAGGGCCGCGGCCAGGAATAAGTGACAAGCAGCCGGCTCCGGGTGCCTGCACCTACCGACGACGGAGAGGAAGAGGAGGGCGAAGCTGCTTCATCCCTGCTCTCTCCACCTGTGCCACTTCCTCAGGCGCCGCGGGCTCTCCAGCGGAGAAGCAGAGGATGACGATGGGCTCTTCGCTCGAACGCGAGGACTCAGCGCCTGGGGTGGTCCCGCGCCCGCTCAGCCAGCAGCGGCGCAACCCGTCCCTCCGTCTGTCTGCTCCCGGTTTTCGTGCCAGCCGTGCGTGAGCTGGTTCTGCCATATTTCTTTTTCTGGACGTTCTCTCCATGGGATGTCTCTGAGCCAGGGCATTACGGGAGCTGGGAGCCCAAAGGAGGTCTCACGTAGGTTGGGATGAAGATGAGTTGATGAGCAACATCTCCCCGCCACCGAGGTCCTGCAAGCCCAGCAGGTCCGATCTCTCCAAGGACGTACCTGGCGTTCCTCGGCCATTCCCTCAACCGTCCCCTCTGGGCACGTGGTTCTCCTCCAGCTGAAAGATTTCCCCCACTGCTGCCCCCAGCTTCTGCCCTGTCACTGTGCCCGAACCCTGCTGCCCGGATGTCCCATCATCCACTTGCCTGGGCAGCCCGTCCCACCAAAGTACGCGTTTCCATTTGCAACTCGCTTTTTATTCCTTTTGGTATTTATTCATCGCTCCTTTGGCTTTCCTCGCTCGCCACCCGCTTTCCTCCGGGCCAGACCCTCTTTGGTTCAAGCAAAAGGACTGGGACTCCCGTCCCATCATGCTGGTAGCAACCTCCCTGCACGCAGGGCCTTAAATTTTGAAGACTGACCTACCTCATCTGCTGCTTCTCTGAATTTCTAGGACTTTATTTGAATGCCTGGTCACTTGAATAGCGCTTTTTAGCGGTTACTGCTTTGTATTCCTACTTGCGTGCTCCCTGTTTGTGCAGAAATGTCCCCCCTGCTGCCCTCCATGGGTCTCTGTTGCCGTCCGCCCTGTGTTGGGTTTGTTCCTTGCTTTCTGCCGTCCTGCTGCCCCCATTACTGTAACGATGTTTTTAGCAATCTCCGTGCGCGTCCTTTGTTTTCTGTGTTGCAGGGGAGCACGGAAAGGGGGTGAGAGCAGGTCTGGGGAGCAACTCCTCACGGTGGGAGCGGGAACAACCAGAAATAGGGTTTTTGAGGCAGATGAGGACGAGAGGCCATGCTGTGAGCCTGTCAAACGGGCAACATAAGCCCCCATCTTGGAAAATCTTTTCATCTCCCATTGAAGCGTGGCCAGTTATTTTTACTTGGCATGCAAAATAATCTATGGGGTGTGCCTTGTGGCAAGGGTTGGGAGGCTACAGCTGCTCTGGGGCAATGCCGAGGTAAGTATTGCAACCTTGGTGAGGAAGGATTGGGGATCCCAGGACTTAGGACACTGTAACTCAATTCAGCTGTTTGCACGGGGAATAAAGTAGCGGAAATGGTGGCGGAGGGAAGTACCAGAGCAGCCAGATCAGCATCAGCGCGATGCTGATGGGTTCAAAGGGGATGGCCACCATGTGCAGCACACGCTGTTCGATGCACGCACCGTCCTCAGGAAGACCACTGCCTGGATGCCTGTGGTCTCCCTGAGCAGGAACCGTAAAACCCAACCCGTAGCTGTGCAAAGCAGCATTGCATTTGCAGGGTAGGGTTGCATTTGCAGGGCGGTTGCTGCGCTTGCAGCGTAGCGTGGTGGTCTCAGTATCATGCGGCGGTTGCAACGCAGCGTGGTGCTTGCTGTGCGCTGTTGGCGGTTGTGCTCTGGTGCAGCACCTGCAGTGCAGCAGGGCGAGCCACACTGTGGTGCAGGGTTTGCACTGCATCATGGTGGAGGTGATGCGCCGTGGCGCTTGCAGCGCAGCACAGCACCTCCAGTGCACCGTCGTGCTTTTGATGCAGCATGGCTCTGTGCCGCATGGTGCTTGCAATGCCGTGCTGCAGCTGCAGTGTAGCTTTCATTGTGCCGTTGCGATTGCAGTGCATTGTGCTTGCACTGCAGCATATCGTTTACACGGCAGCATTATGCCTGCAGTGCAGGATGACGCTTGCAAAGCAGCTTATCTGCACCGTGGCGCTTTCGCTGCGCTGTATCATTTGCAGTTATTCTGCAGTGCAGTGTCTGCACTGCAGCATCTCGTTTACACTGCAGCGTGGTGGTTGCAGTGTAGCACGATGCTGGCAATGCAGTGTGGCCCTGACGCTGCAGCATATCGTTTGCGCTGCGGCGCGGTTCTTGCACTGCAGTGGGGTGCTTGCAATTCA